AGGGGTTTCCTCAACCCCAGACCAATCATGGTCTGTGGGTGGGGTAGCCCACAAGCATGCTGGCCCTGCCACTTCTAGTTTAGCCCCCCGCCCCCCTTCTGGGGCCCCTTCAGAAATTTTCAAAGTGGCCCCTGGCCAAAAATTATTGCCCACCCCTGGACTAAAGGCACTCTCCTGACTCCTTCTGCTCTAGATATTATAGCACCCCCATCAGTGAGGAGCAAACAGGAAAGAAAAGGTTCTGCAGCTACTGTATATAGCAAGTTAGAGGTAGAGCCACAATATAGAAAAAAGCCCAGCATGTGGAATGCCAGTTGTTTGCTCTAACCACCCATCTTCCATGAACCCCAAGGAACAAGGCTCTATAAAGGGAAAGCTCCTGGCAAAGAAAGTTGCCACGGTGTCTCATCCGTGCAGAGTTACACAGTGTTATTAGATCCATTCCCTTTGGGAAGAGTCCAAAAGTTAAGCTCACACTTGAGGCATGTGTGTATTATGTGGTCATATTGGGAAAGTGGATCTGTGATTTGTTCCTACCCTGTTGGCTCAGCAGCAGCCATGGTAGCCTCCCTGGTATAACACTAGGGTCTGGAGTGTAGCCTGTTCTTACCTTTCCTTTCAGATTAAGCCGTTTGTGAGCAGACACCCCGATCCTTCTGCATGGTTCCCGACTTGCAGCAGCGAGAGAAAGAATTTCAACCGTGGGGCAAGCCACTGTGTTGGGGCTCAACAACACCAGTTCTTCCATCCTCAGGGTTACTGTTTTACTCCAGCCATACACAGAAGCGACCTTCACTGCCCGTCAAAGCTGGGTCAACTGGAACCAGTCATCACAAAGCTTCCGGCGCAGACACAACATGGGGGGTGTTAGATACTAACACTTTGGCATGTCCCCCCTGTGTGAGCTGACGGAGCCCTCTAGCAGGAAGCCTACCGTGCGTTTTGTCATCAGGAGCCTTTGGGTGAAGCAGTTCAGAAACAAACAGCGAGGAAGAATATTTTTTAAATCCAAAAAGCTCATTCAGGCTAGGAGCCCTGGCCGAAGCCCCTCAGGCAGCAGTTTCACCTCGTTACCACCACAACCTATTGCACCTGTTTCCGAGTGGTCAGCAGCACAGCCTAGCAGGGATTAACTCCTTGCCTGCCAGTGCTGGGGCAGGCCTCTGTACCCTAAAATACTTCCAAAATCACAAACACACCTCATCAAATAGGCTTTCCACCAGTCCACAAGACGGTGTTTCCGCATGGGAAAACTTTTAAAAACAAAGATGTCTCCTTACCTAGTTAGGGACCCAAACCTTCAAATACTTAACCGTGGGCATTACTTTATGCCGCTGAAAGACAATGGGACATGAATAATTTGATTCAGGTCAGCAGATATTTAAGGGTTACAGGATTGGGGCCTTGGTCTTTATTTTAGCCAGACGGTTCCATACTAAAATGCAGTTTATTGTAACTCAGTGGGAAGCTATGGTTTTTATCCTCCTGCCCCCACCTCCAGCAGGATAAGCAGCAAAGTTGACTGACTCACCCATGCATGGCCTCAGGAGTACGGTTTCAAAGGGGTTTTACTGGCATTCCATTTATCTCACAAACATGTTATCTCAGCACAAATACATCCATATTCATTGTAACTGAAAAATGGCACATAGGCGACCCTTGCTCTGGGATAGAACGTACATTTGGATGATGAAACATGATGACCTGTCCTATGTATTTCTCATGAAGATCAGGGCAGCTTGGTCTTGGGGACAGGACTGGGAGTGAGAAGCCCTGGATTCCTAGTGCTGTCCCTGACCTGCTGGGTGACTTTCAGACACGTCATTGCAGTTCTCTGTGCCTCAGTTTCTCCTCCAACCCTTTATCTGTTTTGCCTATATAGAATGTAAACTCTTTGACTGTTCCCCATTATTATATCATGCCAAGAGCAATGGGACCCTGATCCCAGCTGGTGGTGTCCCTGGGCTGGGCTGTATTACAAATAATAATAATGGAAATAGCTACCTTTATGCAGCTTGAACTTAATCCATAGTACAACACACACAGGTGCAATTACTTCTGACTCTGATCTAAACACCCAGTCCTGCAAGTCAAAGGGGCGCCTCTGTGGAGGCCTAAGACATTTATCAAGAAATAATATGTGCATTGTAGACAGCAGGTTATCAGCCATTATGAGCATGTGAGAGTTTAATTCTGAGAAGCAGAGGGAAAGGATTTTTTGAACATATGATACATGTTTTTCACTTGCTCTGAATCCCTGTTTGCTGAAAGAAAGAGAGCGAGAGGGAGGGTGCAAGCAAGCAAAAAATAAAAAACATCTTTTACATCTTCTATTTCTACTGGAAAGCAACATCTCAGTGGACAGCACATTTTTTTTCTTTGTCCAAGCAGTTAACTAAGGTAGAGTCACAGCTGCCAATGGAATAAACAGTCCAATGTTTCAAGAATACATCTGAAAATCTGGGTTCAATTCTCAATCCTTTTTACTGACACTATTTACAGATCTGTTTGTAAAAAAGAAAACCAACAGTTTTTGTAATTTGTTTTTTTTTTTTTTACATTACTTTAGCGCAGGGGGAAAGGGCCTGACTGAGAGAACTGGAAACTGAAATCCTTATACATAAGTATAGTATGAGTCTGGCACCAAGCAGTGCTTTCCCACATCCCAGGCACCTGTGTGTCTCAGTCTTAACAAGGAATGGCATTGATCTTTAGTAGTAAGAGGGTGTGTCAGTCTTCCAGGCTTATCCAGGCCTCATCCCCAATACTGAAGCTGCCAAGAATGGAGTGTGTTTCTGCGAATGGTGGTGATGGCTTCTTTACTCAATAAGACTACGGGTCCACTAGTCACTGTGGCATAGTGGGGGTGCTGTCTGCTCTGTATCTCGGGGTCCCCCTGTTTTGGGATGTGTGATTCCCACTGACTCGCTCACATGTTGTGATGTAGTGTCAGTACCTTGCGGGTTGCTATGCTCGGGCAGTGGGCAGTTGTCTGTAAGCACAGCCCTGCAAGAGGGGCCTCAGAACAGTGGCCAAACTGGTTCTACCTGTTAAGGAAAGAGAGGAGACAAAGGAAGTGCGTGCTGGGGGAAGGGTCAGTCTTGGGCTGGAATCATGGAGGAACCAGTCTAAGGAGAGGGCTGGAATCCAGGAGCCTAGGGACCCCATTCCAAGGAGGTATCTTGGCCCAGACTCCTGTAAACACATCACTTCTATGCTGTGCTGTATCCTGGAGAAGCAATAAACCCCCTCTATTCTACCGGCTGGCGGAGTCTGTTCTTGCTGCTATGGGGGTGCAGGATCGGGGAAACCCCGACTGCATCGTCACAGTCATTGTACGTGAGCCACCAATAAATGGATCATATAGCAATGTCTTTTGTCAGCCATCAAGCAGGGTGTCATTGGAATCAGTGATTTAGAGCTGAATGCCACCCTGAGCCAGCCTGTCCCCTTTCTTCAATAACATCTCTCTTCCCTTCACACATACTTGGCCCCGCAACTCACAAGGCTGTGCCCAAGGAAGGGCTGTAGCTGCTACAGTAATATTGGTGCCACCCATAGTGGCACCAGGTGACAGACTTCTAGAGGCTTCCACCTGCAGCTAGCCAAATTATAGCTTGCCCAGAGACCAGGAACCACAAACACTACAGGCAGCAAGAGGACATGGGAACTGGCTCCGTCCTGCACCATGAATCCAAACACAGACTTCACCCTTTACTGAATGACGTGTGACTCCTGACCCGTGCAGAATGGGCTTGGCTTAAATCCCTTTTTTTCCAGGAGAACAATATCCAGCTTGTGACGAAGTAGAGATTGCTCCTGGCCTTAAAATATCAGTGGTTGCCGTGAGATTTTTTCTTTGTTCTGAAGGGCGAAAATTTTTCCCTTGTATGTTTAGGGTTTTTTAATACAACCCCACGTTACCAGGGAAGGACTGAGGTTTCTTTTCTGTGTGATAATTTTTTTGGTTCTTTTAGCAGTTCTTTGGTAGTGACATATTTTTGAGGCCTCATATTGGATAACAATGTCAACTCCTTCCAGGAGACCTGACAGTAATGTTGCAAATACTGGGGGTATATCTAGACTACATGCCTCTGCCGACAGAGGCATGTAAAATAGGTTACCTGACATAGTCAATGAAGCCGGGGATTTAAATATCTCCGGCTTCATTAAAATAAAAATGGCCGCCACGCTGTTCCGGCTCAGCTGATCATCGGCACAGCGCGCAAATCAAGACGCGGATCAGTTGACGGGAAGCTTTTGTCGACCGCTCCCTTATGCCTGTGCTTACAGTTTATGGGAGAAAGACACCAGAGAGTTCCCTGCAATACACCACCACATATTCAGGGGACGAGGAGGGATAGTAATTCAGTTTAAAGCCTTATTCACATCTCAGCCCCAGACTCCACCTGGAAAGCTTTACATACAACTTCAGGAAATTCCACGAGAGTGTTAAACATTGAGGGGCTACAAAGCACAAGAATGAGCATTAGTTTACTAATGTTGCTGAGAGAGGAAAAAGCAGCACTGAAATACAAAGCTGAGGCTAAACCAATCCATCATAGTGACAGACATTACAGCTTCGGAGGGGATTGTAAACAGACTCTAGATCTGTAAAATGTAATGGGCCCAAGTCCCTACACATATTTGGATTATTTGTACTTTGGATCTAGATATTTGAGTTATTTGTACTTTGTACTTTTCTGACTTGAGCCCATGAGTCTCATTAGAAGCAATTCAGTTGCTAAATGGTACTCTTAAAAAAAAAAAAACAGGTCAGGGGGCTGGACTTGATGACCTCCTGAGGTCTCTTCCAGCCCTATGATTCTATGAATGAGTGCAGAGAACCAGCATGGTGGTAAACAGGTGGGACTTGCAGTTTTGGGGCATTCACTTTTGTAGAGTAGAGAACAATAAAGGGGGAGCCATTTCCCCACTTTTTATACAAGTGTGCCCAGCAAACAGCCGTTGATTCTCCACTGGCAGCCCTGGAAGCTTGGTTAATAGTGTATATCTTTAATAAGAGAGGTTAAAATGCTCCATCGGCTCTGAAGGGTTAAACCATTGTAAGGTCAACAGCTTCCACTCTTTTCCCTCCCTGCTCCAATCCCTTCCAAGTAAAATCAGCATCAAGCCAATTTCTTACAAAGCTGACATCACTCTGAAGTTCCAAATATCTTTTCCATCTGTTGCCTGGGTGTTTTGGTTGCTGATCACAACCCATTCTCTTCTGCTGAAGGAAAAGCAAAGAACCCTAGTCCACAATTCTAGCCCTGTGTTAACCCTCAGAAGCATCTTACTAAGACTGTTCAACATTTTACAGCACAGGGCTATGCGAGCTCTGGGCCTTAGTGTGCTTTAGAGTGGGACTTTGAAGTGCTTCACATAAAAAAAGGTTACAATTTCCCAGCCATCCAAGGAATAATCTCTCCCTGACCCCTGCTACTGTTTATTCTCCCCACCCCTACCCCTTCAAATCATGATAATAAGTCAGTCACCCTAGCACATTTCACAGTTCAGTGTCAGCAACAACGTGCTGCTTGGCTGAATGTCCATTTTTTGAGGATGCCTGTCCAGCCCCATTTTTCTGAGCCCCTCCATTGAGATTTGGCTTCTCCTGTGGCTCGGATGGCTCTTGGGAGGCCACGGTGATCACTGTGTTTCCCTGGCTGTCATTGTCAGTGTAATAGGGGTCTTCACCCTAAATGGATACACAGACAACAAATGCAGAGTTAGCAAAAGGAAAGGATGGACAGCAAGCGGCTTAGATGCCAAGCAAGCAGCTTAGAGACCTGCATGGCACGCAATCGCAGCAGACGCGGATACCAGCTTCTGTCAAGAGGAAGGATACAGGCCTGGACCGTGGCACTGAAGTACTAAGAGTTAGGCCTAGTCAGTGAGCGATTTCTTAAAAAGCAGAACAGCCTGGTTTTTGTGCTGCTCAGATCCACAGGCCCAGGTTCTGCATTGCTTTGGGAGTTTGCACACTGAGCCCTAGCTTCCTCCAGCTCTATTTTCCACATGGGTCAGGTAGGAAACTTTTGGGACATATCCTTTCTTATTACATTCAACCTGAAATTCAGATAAGCAGCTTTCAGGAATGAGAAAACAGAGCTTCAGCCACACATTTGCCAACTTTTTGGTTACCTGTAGTATTTTATATATATATATATATAAAACACACACATACCTCTCTCTCTCACACACACACACACACACACACACACACACACACACTCTCTCTCTCTCTCTCTCTCTCATTAATTATTATTACCCAACTAGTCAAATGCATTAGGAAACCGAGACAGGTTTCACCTGCCTCTGAAGCAGGAGGTATGACACAGTATTGTAGACCAGACTAGATGGACCACTGCTCTTGTTCTGCTGTAACCGTTCTGGAGGCCTTAAGTGCGGCAGAGCTGACAGTAAGGCCAACAAGAGTCAGGAGCATGGGTCTGTATATGAAGTACACTTGCCAATACAGTGTACCAGGAAGGAAATCCAGGTTGATAGAGTCTGAGGTCCTCTGTTCACAAAGCCATGTACAGAATAGACAGAAGGAGGGCAAACTTCCCATCCAGGCAGTCCCCTCCAAATATGCCTCTGTCTTGCCCCGGAATAGGCATCTCTTACATATAAGTGGCCCAATTTACTTTTTTGCTTCTTTGCTGATACTGTCGACTCTGGTGATGCTAATTGCGATGGGGACACCCGTCCACTGGAAACTGGATTAAGACCACCAGGTTTATGTAACACTGAGGAACCATATCACCAGGGCCTTGCAGTCACACTGCCAAGCTAGGGCAGGAGGTGGGATCCAGCGCCCAAGAGGTAACAAGCTCTGTCTCCTGCTGCCAAGCCCCTGACCCATCCCATCCACTACACATGCACTGCCATTTGCATTCATGCATTTGGCAGGATCCACCCCAGAATATTGAACACTCTTAGTCTCCTGCCGTATAACTGTACATGTGCATCTGGAATTAGATGAAAAGGTTCTGACTCCACTTCATAGAAAGATGCAAGTCTCCATAAATCTGTGATAAAGAAGGAACTCCCTAGAACTCAGCAAAATCTGTAAGAGGAAATACATATATATATGTGTGTGTGTGTGTGTGTGTGTGTATAGGGAAATATTTTCTTTCTTCTTATTCTTTATTATCACCATTTGTTACGTGGGGGGAAACAACCTTCATTACAGCATAGATACAAGTTGGATGTATAATTTGACTTTTAAATGCAATGAGTGAAGGAAAGTATTTCGATTTTAATAGCAAATTCACAAGCTTTCAGAGTCTCAGGAGGTGTCTTCCCCGAGGAGTTCTTAGTACCAGGCAAAAATAAATGTTAGACTTGGCAGTGATAGGGAGTAAAAGGTAATTCTCCCCAAATGAACAATCACGGAATATTTAATATTAGAGAAGAAGAGTTTCCTTTCACTCTTCATGATCCGGGCTCGAGCACAGTTGTTTATACCTCTCTCATCTCAATCTCCCCATTCACCTCACCAAGTTTTCAGTTTCCCTGTCAGACTGTCTGCAGTGGCAGAGCAACAAGCCATCTTGTCACAGCTTATTGGTACATTCATACGCTACAGGTAACTTGTACAGATCATAAGCTCCCGCCTAGCACCCCCGCCCTCCCAAACAGAGACTGTTAGTGGCACTTAGTTGTCTGTGGCAGTGATTCTATTGCATTCCCTCCTCCGCATTCCTCCTGTATTTTGGTTTCTCTCTACTTGTTGTTTTGCCAGCTATAAGCACTAACCAGCCTCTCTCCCATGGGGCTCCAGCTCCGTCGCTTCATAAGGAAGTATCCAGCCAAACCCAGAAATGCCAGCAAGAGTCCAGATGTGACCAAGGCAATCAGTGTCCTCCGGGAAAAGTCTTGGTGGCATCCGATGCTCTCCAATTTATGGGAGTTTATTCCTAACTGGAAATACAGCAAAGAGAGCCAAGAGTCTCATAAACAGGAAACTTGTGCATGCTCAACATCTGCTGAGAGCACTCCATATTTTAAAGAAACAAATATAGACACCTTAACAACATAAAAAGAGCCACCTCAAATATTTTAAATAGAGAGGTATGGTAAAACATTTTTAAATACATAAAAATACATTCAATAAATAAATATCTTCCATGCCAGTTCTTTTTACTACACACACACTTTCTCTCTCATAGAGCTTGACCCATCTCCCATGGAAACTGTGAAAAGACTCATTAGCTTCAGTGGGAGTTGAATCAGAGCATAGAGCCAGGCTGACAGCCCCTGAAACTGAGATTCTCCTTCCCCAAGTCAGCTAGGCTACGTCTACACCGCAGCCCTATTTCGGGATACGGGAGGTATTCTAAAATAGCCATGCTGCATCTTTTGAGCACTCCTGTTATTTCAAAATATAATGGACTCTCTATTCTGACATCCCTGTAAACCTCATTCCACAAGGATGAAGGAACATTTCAGAAAAGCAATGTATTTCAAAATAAGTGCTGTGTAGACAGCGCCAAATTTTGAAATAACATCAAAATAAAATATGCAATTTGCATAGCTCAAATTGCGTATCTTTTTTCGACCTACGGTGCAGTGTAGACACACGCCTACATTACAGGCAGAAGCAGTGCAAACTTTCCCCACACTGCCCCATCACTGTGCCTTGCCCCTGACATGCAGACACCAACCGCCGGGGTAAAAAATCCACTGCACATTGAGTTCTTAGCCCCTCTGCTGAGACTGACAACTTTTCTGGATGAGAAGCAATGCAGAAGCATCGGGTATTGTAGTATTATTATTCTCTCCGTCTCCTGGGCCCAGGTTGTGCACTCTGTTGAGCCAGGACTGAAAGACCTCACAATCTTGCATTATAAACATTACCCTAGTACCCCCAGGTTTAACTCCCCAAAAAAAGCTTTCATCCAGAATGAGAATGTTATGTCCTTAAGACCTAGAGCACAGAGGTAATAACTTACTGCTTATTTAGCTGCTGGGTGTCATTTTTATAGACACTTGGAGTTCAGTTTTACAAGGCAATGGCAACCTCAGTGGTATACAGGGAAGATTAATGTCAGGATGGCACTTTGAAGATGTAAAGTGCCAATTAAGTTTTAAGAGTTATTATTGAGATCCAGATTCTTTAAAAAAAAAAAAAAAAAACCTATAGTATGTTACAGTAATCATCCAAAGCACCGCAGCATACAGTAGTGATTCTGGAGGACTCGGTGTTAATGGTTGTAGATTTCTATAGTGAGTGTGCACACACTCACACTCATACTCTGAATTTTCAGAAGTTACAAGTGATTTTGGATGCCCAACTTGAGATACATTAAAAGACCCTGATTTTCAGAGGACGGGTAGTCTGCTGCTTCTAAAAACTAGGCTCCTCTAATGAGTCTCAGATTAGGCACCCAAAAATCACTATTTCTTTTGAATACTTAGCCCTGCTTTTTTTAAAAAATGGGGGGATACAGTGGCAATTAGTACTTCATACATATTCTGAAGTAAATAAAGTACACTGTAATAAGATTCTGCTGCTGGGCTTAGAAGACACTTGACAGTGACTTTATGTTTATGGAAAAACTTAAAAGACAACAAATAGTCTGGTAGCCCTTTAAAAACTAACAAAGTATGTAGATAGTATCATGAGCTTTTGTGGGCATGGCCCATTTCTTCAGATGACTCGGTGTGACGGCGCGTTGGGGGTTCCCCGTCTCCTGCACCCCGAAATGGCACAAACAGACTTCACCAGCCGGTGGAATAGAGGAAGCTTATTGCCTCTCCAGGATACAGCACAGCACAGATGTAGTCTCGTCACAGAGCTGGGCTAGGATGCCTCAGGCCCCCTTGAGATGGGGGAGACTGGGCCCCTAAACTCCAGCCCCTTCTCCTAGGCTCTCCTCCATGCTCTCCCACAGTAACTAACTAAATTCCCTTGCAGCCCTGCCCCCCAGTCAGGGCAGCATTCCACCTTCCTTTGTTCCTCTCCATGGGGGGTGTCTGGCCCCTGGCTCAACAAGTTTGGCATTACCTCTGCCTAGCGAGGTTTTCCCTGCTGGGTCTTGCTCCAGACAGCAGGGGTCACCACAGCCCAGCAAGTACCCCCACTACGTCACACTTGGCTACCCCTCTGAAGCTTTATGTGCATAGTCTTTCCAAAGGGAAAAGTGCTGAATTAATTCAGGTGCCAGGATCCCTGGACAGATAAGGCTTCTGGATAGGTCTTCAGAGCCACAGGAATTCTGTGTCAGGTTTTGAGAGGTTAAGTGCAGGGCTGCCACCTGTTCTGGTTTTCCCAGGATCATCCCTTTTTCAGATAGCTGTCACAGGAAATCTGCAAGGCAGCTCAGTACACACTGCTAGCTGTTCAGTTGTATTGAGTCCCAGATCTGTGCTGTGTTTTGTACCTCAGAAGTGGCAATCCTAACATGAATGGTTCATCCAACATTTTGAGCCCCTTTTGTACCAAACTGTATGTTGCAAGTGAATATGGCAGTCTTCTTTGAAGTGCCACCTTGTTAGTACTGGAGGACCTACAAGGCACCATTGGAGTGTATTATTGCTCTTATACTAGGGACACGAATTAGTGCTTAAATCAAAATATGCTTAGAGCACTTAAACAATTTGATTAGTACAGACAGTCAAAGATCCCCTGTTTCTCCCCAGAACAGGTACAGCCTAGCAAATGCCCTCCACACACTGACTGACTCCTGACCTGGAGGTACCAGTTTTAAGAAACAAAGGGATTCGATCTCTACAGGTCATTGGTGTCTGTGACCTTGACTGCCAGCCAGAATGTCCATTAAATTGGCGTGGTGCTGTGAATACCCACGCATTGGCAGATGGACTGAGACCATCTTAATTACAGTTAGTTGCCAAATAACTCTGAGATAGTGATATTTTCAGTTACCACCAACCTAGCCTGGATTTGAACTATCAGCCTAAAACTGAAAGACTCCTTCACCCCAGCCCACAAAACCACCCCGTCTCCTACATACTTAACTAGCTTAAAGCACTTACCTTGGTCAGCTCAGTCTTCTGATCTTGGAGAAGTTTTTCTATTGCTTCATCATCTGTAGTTTTCAAAGCAGAAAGGTTGTGACATGTGTAGTGTAAATGCCAACAACTCAATTCTTGCCGTTTACATCAGTGGCCCATCATTGACAAAGGAGTAGCTGAGAACTCTGTTATTTCTGTAGGAAATGCTGTGACTCAAAGTAAATCAAAACTCTAGTAAAACCCATTAGAGAAAAGAAAACAATAGTGATAGAGCTGATAAGTTTGCTGAGAGTTCTGCTTTCTAGTCTGTGCTTGAGTATTACAGGATTTCTAGCACATGGTCAGATACTCCCAACCCTGCCTCTACAAATAAGTCATGCATCCCCATCCTACACCTACAGTTAACTTCTGTCTTTCCCTCCCCATACACATATACAGTGAACTCCTTCATTGGTCACAAGAAAATCCAGAGACATTGGTTGGTTCTACTAACCTTTATCGCCAGCCTGAGTGAGCAGTAAGCAGGAGTGCTTCACCTGGGATTCGGCTAGTTCAATGCGGCATGGGCGGGGGATTGTGTTACAAATCACCTCAGCGAACTGCACTCCCTTTAATTTTACAAATTTACTCTGCAAAATTCCCAAAAAGAAAAGAGTTATTAAAAGAAACCATACAAACCCACACATTTTCTCTCCTTCAGTGATACCTAAAATAGATCACTAGGATGTATTGTTATTCTCAGTCTATCATTTATATTGCAATAGTGCTTAAGGCTTTCTTGCCAGATCTGGTCCCATTGTTCAAGGCATTGTACAAACATATAGCGAACACCAGCCTAACATCAGCTCAAACTGGGAATCAGTCTGATGTAACAGACTCAGCACTAGACTGGGAACCAGTGATCACAAATACTGATTTTTCCTCTTCCACTAACTTATGTGACCATGGGTAAGAAATTTCACTTCTCTGTGCCTGTTTTCCCATCTGTAAAATGGGAATCTTGATACTTGCCTCATAGAACAATTTGATGCTTGTTAGATACATTTCAACTAATGAGAACGTTTTTAAATGTTATTTTTTTATCAAGCGTAAATGTGGGGCCTGAGGTGCTTAGGTGTGTCCCTTTAACTCTCAGAATGAGAAAGAAGCCAAGGGAGCCTTTATTGTTTTGAAATTACAGGCACTGTCTGTCTCATTGTCAGCTAGGAGAAGAAGGAAATAACAAAGAAATATGTGGCCTTCCTGTTTAGGAAATGCCTTTATTGTTTCTGATGGGTTGTTGATCAAAGGCTGAGCGAAGAATAAAGTTCTCACTTTTAGCATTAAAATGATCCCTCTACTTAAAAACAACAGTGACTCTTGGGTGGAGGAAGGGAAGAGTGGATTGCAGCCTTTTCCTCCTCTTGGCCAACTTGTACAGCAAACAGGATGGACCCTCTTCTGAAACCTATGTACACACACACTCTGGACTGGGGTCAGGGCTGGACTTTGCTAAAATAGGGTCACCATTTCTTAAAATACTCCAGCATGGAGAGGGAAGGACAGCTTAAGGGGGTGGTTTAGCACTTCCCACAAATCACACCTTCTAATATGTCTCAAGCTGGGAGCCCAGAAAATGGAAGCACCCAAAATCACTAGCTTAGTGGTTCCGAAACACGGCCTCATTTTTAGATATATTGCTTCTTGTGACCCCAAACAGCATGGAGAATGTTATTGGAAAATGGGGTCTTCTGTGCAACATGACTTTGCATGCATCAGAGGCGTTCTTACGAGGGAAATAGGGTCAGGGCACAGAGATTTGCCACCCACCCAATAACCTTCTTCCCTCACATGAGTGGTGAATGGATGGGTATAGTGGGTTGGGCTGGATGTGAGGGTGCCCGTTTCCCCAGGGCCCTCTATTTAACCAGGGCTTCTGGGCACAGGCTCTATTGGCCCAGTGGCTAATCCACCACTGTTATGCACATACGCTATGTGACACCAGTTTGCTGCCCCTCCCCCCCTTTGCAGATGGAACAACTTCACCTGGGGCTGCAACTCTCTATTTGGGAACTGCCGCACAAGGCACTTTTAAAAGAACATTGGCCTAGCAAAGCACTGAACAAAACCTCCCAGTCACACCAGTAAATCCATTTATACGTTGGTGAAAACAGAAGGTATCAAATAATCAATCAGAACTAGTTTCATTTAGTTTTTCGGGGGTGGGGTGGGAGACCGAGATGGGAGGAAAAACCTGTGTATTTTGTTTTGTCTGCCGTGGAAAGAATGTGTGAGAAAGTTAAGAGTTTCCTTTGCATTTAACAGAGACAGACACCAACATGCATGCAGGCCTTGGGAAAGGCCAGCACAGCAGGAAAAAGGACTCCCCTCCCCTCTATCTGCTCTCCTCAAAG